ACATAACAAAAATATAAAAAACAAAACGAAATAAAAAACAAATTATAATAAAAATAATTAATAATTGAAAGTTATGAAAGGGGAAAAAATTAATGAAATAAATGAAAGACCATTGCAAAAAATGTGGAATCAAAAAGTACAAACTTATAAAGTCTACCAAAACAGATATAATGTTGAAACCAATCACAATTCACAAAATAATGAGAAAAGGTAAATAAGTACTAATTATTAAACATCAACTAGCATAACAAATAAATAAGGATTTGAGAAGGAAAAATGTGCAAGACTGTTAACCACTGAATATAACAAGGATAAATGTGGAGTGGTTATTTGGAGAGACAGAGTGCAATTATTTAGTATCAGAAGTACATGTACGAAAAAAAGCGGAGATATGTGATGTCAGGTTCATGATTGATGCATCCAGGATTAACAGCATTCAAGGTGGCTATCCAATGAGCTACATTTATTTTTCTTTTAATGTTTAAATTTGAAACCATTGTTTAGACCTATCGGGGAAGAGTAATTATAATAAAGTGATAAGATTGATCGAAGTGTATTGATTGAAGCTATATTTTGTTTTGGTTCTAATGAAAGGCTAAAGATTGCTGAATTATTCTCTCTCTCTTTAAATGTAGTTTCGTTATATCAAGCACTTGCATTTTATATGACAGATTATGTCGGTTATAGAATAGCTGATGTCCTTGTTGATTTAATATTTGGTTAGATTATCAGAAAAGGTGTTGGTGGATTTCATAAATTCGCAGGTTTAATATCTTGGGCTATATTGAAAGGGTGATTTCCACTTTAGTAAAGATTGTATTTAAGTTTTTGGTATGTAAAAGAATATCTTTGAGATTTCTAGATGTTTTCAGATAGAAACAATGGTAACTACGGGAAAAATATTTTAATATAATACTACTTTATAGAAAATTAAGTGTTTTTAAAGAATGTGAGAAAGATTCTTGAGCTCGAGAGGGCAGGCGATAGCGATAAGTACGGCTAGATTCTGTCTCATAAGACTGAAAAAAATATTTCTCGAATTGCTCGGCATGGCCAGGTGGTTAGGGCGCTCGACTCGCAATTTGCGGTTCGAATCCCCGTCACAACAAACATGTTCACCATTTCAGCCGTGGGGGCGTTATAATGTGACGGTCAATCCCACTATTTGTTGGCAAAAAAGTAGCCCAAAGTTGGCGGTAGGTGATGGTGACTAGTTGCCTTCCCTCTAGTCTTACACTGCTGAATTACACTGCTAGCGCAAATAACCCTCGTGTAGCTTTTCGCGAAATCAATACCAAACAATTTCTCTAATTAGTTATCAATTTATGTGAGTTTGTGACCTCTCTGAATTATGATTCTTTTAGTGCTTGATTACGTTGTTTTGTAACTATTTTCATAAGAGCTGATTTTTTTATCCTGAGGGCATGAATGCACGTGTAATTTTCGTTTAGTGTGACCTGGGTGACATCTTTGATTGTGTTAGATTGTGGTCAGCCAATGGGTTTCCGACATAAGCCAGTATGCAATAATCCGTCTTTGTGTATAACAATAATGTCCAGGAAACGGATTTTAGTCAGAAGGCAACCAAGCGTGAATTTTTTAGTACTTTGAAAAATTTTCCACAATTATGTAATCTAGATAAAAATAGTTCATTAATGCATCGTTTTGAAAAATGTGATTTCACAGAGCTCTCTTTTTTATCATCGATTAATTCGTGGCAGTACCGTTGATTTGAAAGTAGTGTTCGTTGTTGAGATCAAAGCTGTTTAGCGTTAAGGCTAATCTGGGAATATAAGTAAAGGCTTGGGTGTGGGACAGATAATGTTATTTAGCTCATTTGTTAAATCTTTTTGTCCTTTATCGTGTTAAATGCTAATGGACAAGTAAGAAAGATTAATTGTATGCAGAAGGGAACTGGAAAAGAGAAGACTATTAATACTAATATTTTCAAATTGATTTAGAAAATGAATTGTGTTTGTGATGCATAATTGAAGGTCATTGTAATCAAATAGACTTTCAATCGGCATATTTGTATTGAAGATAATAAGAAAGCCACTATTATCAAGCTCATGCATTTCTGAAAAAAGGAAAAGTCTCCTTGTGTAGTGATTTGTTTTCACTGCTCGATATTCTAAAGTGCCCTTGTCGGTTTGATTGATTCCGTGAAGTTGAAACAGCGTTTCTTAAAATCGTTAATGGATTTCGTAATTTGAGGGGTTGGATCTTTCTTATTGGGTTTCTTGGTAGTTGATATCATTGAGTTGGGCAAACTTCTGGGAGGTAATTTACTTTTTAGAAAAGGAAGTTGAACCATTTTTATTGCCTACTTTATAAGAGTTCCCCCTTTTTTTTTGTTCAGTTTAAAAGTATTGTGGAAAAACCTATGAGATCATATAATTTGAAGTATTTTATTAATGACTTTTATATAACTTGAACTCGTTGTTCTCTGTTTATGGAAAGTGACCAAGAGGACTTTTCTTAATATTATGACATTTGCTGAATATGAGGAGCCTAATTGTTCTGCACAATTCAAAAACTTCGAATTAATATAATTGTTTGGGGGTAGAGCAAAATATTAAAACTTTTACTAAATAGCCCGATTTTATGATCGGAGAGGGTTTATCAGAAAATTTTTGGTTAACAGCCTACTTATTAAAAGTGTAATAAATATAGCTGAAAAATGTGTCTCGTTCTTCTTGAAAAGGATTGTGCGAAATATTAATGTTCTCAATCTTTTTGTCAGTGTTGTTATAAGGAAGATCTCATTGTTTACAAAAGTCGTGATTGTTAGCTCATAAAGTGACTGGATATTTAATTTGAGAGATTTAGAAATTAATTGTTTCGTAATTTTTAAAGAAAATCTTTCTTTTATCATTGATTAATTTATATACTTGGTAGTACCGTAGGTTTGAAAGCAGGATTTATTGTTGAATTCAGAGTTTTTTAGCATTAAAACTAATCTAGCATTACCAGTTAAGAAATTGGTTCTGTAAGTTTTAAGAGACAGACTAAGTGTGTAAATGTTAACAAGTTTTCTTCTCCTAAGTCTTTCGATGCTTTTGGAAAAGCTGTTTTTTTGTGTGTTTTCAGAAAGGTTACGGATTTTTTTTATTTTGGAAAATAGAATAATCCTTTAAATAGGAAATGATGGGACTGGTTTTATGAGAGAGAATTTCATTAACGAGTGCATTAGAATAATGTGTTCTACGTTTTTTAGATCAGAAGAACAAACTCGCTGGTGTGTCTACTTTGTAGAGAAGAATATGAACCAATAAGTGATTAAGTGGTGCTTCTTTCAAAAGTAATAACTGAAGTATAAGACATGAGACAATACAGGAGGCGATATACTGGTGGCACGTCATAAGGAGAGAGGATGTTGGAGGAAATACAGAAAAAAAGAGAAATAGGGAGGGGCAGCGAGAAGAGTCAAGTAGAACAATTGAAGTTTCGATTACTCCTTAAAGGCCACAAGAAGAGATATTGATGGTAAATTAATTGAAGGACAAGAGAAAATAAATATAACAAGATGAGGTGTTTGTATTAGCAGGCTAAAAATGCGTATTAGATGTTATAGGCAAATTACTGATGAGAAAAATTATATAATGAGAATTAAAGTGTTTGAAGCTGGAAGCTAGAAAATTGATGTATATCATCGTGACGTCAGAGGTTTCTGTTATATTGTGGTCTAAATTTTGCGTGGGGATTAAGTTTTAAGTGTAGATTTTGTTTGCAGATATATTCAGCAAGTTTACTGAAATGTTAGATTTTGTGGATGAGCTCTATAACATGAATTTCATATGTTTATAAATATTAAATGAAATAGTTTGTTGATTGAAATGCTTAGTAATACATTAGAGATAACAAGTGTGGTGTATGGTTTCTGATTGAAGATGTGGGCAATTATATGTTATAATTTAAAAATAAAATCAGTCATCAGTGGGTTTAGAAGTTTTGTTTCAACTCGTTGTTGCCAAAATACTAACGAGGAAAGTGATAGAATTGGGAAGAGGAGAAGTAGTCTTAATAGCCTACAGTTTTCTAATGCGTGTTAGACAAGATATCGGTGATTGGAAGTCGTATAAAGAATCCTCTATTCGTAGCGTCTCGTCGAGCTCCACGAAAAATGAAACGATATTTGGGTTAGCTTGGCTAACATCAACATACAAGTGTGGTAAAACAAGAGAAATGATAGATTTGAAAACACTGTTATGAGCATGAATGTTAAAAAGTATATTTAATGTGTTTATAAAGTAACTTTTTATCAGTCAGTCTGATATTCTTTCATTATACTTTTGTTTAATATTATAAACATTTTCTTTATTGCAATTATAAAAGAAGCTGGAAAATAGTGATTAAAACTGACATTTTCAGACGTGTTACACTTATATAGCGTTGGGTAGAACCAGGAAATGACACCATGTCAAAAACTTAACGTAAAATCTATCACAATGTCAGTATCGTATCACTAATACTCTCTGTAGTGTAGCTTGTAATTATAGCATCTCTTCTATGTTAATTTGAACATAATTACTTTTATGTGTTGCTTGTGGAATCACGTTAGTCATAGGTTTAAAACATTGAATACATAACTCGAATTGTTTTGAAATTTATTTTAAGAACCTTGTTTTGCAAATCACTTCCAAAATGTCTTAATTTTACGGAACAAAACTTAAACGAACACATTTTTTCATTTCAAATTTATTTCACAGACGAGACATTTATATTTAAGTCACAGCTGATTTTGTCATAGTAAAATCTTTAAATACAATCAAATAATTTCTGTTATTTAGATAACGAGAATTTTACAAAAAAAAAAGATCAAAAGGAATAACATTCCATTCCAAAAGTTAGGTTACTTCGAAGAAATAGGTCACGATGAAAGTTTTATCAGTCACGAATATGAGGATGTTTCTTAAACCTTGTTTAACTAACAGTAATTGTATGCTTAGCCTTTTTTTTGTTAGACATTTGATTTAAACGCACTTGATTTTTTTTTCAAATTTCACAGTTTATCTTAAACAAAGTTAACAAAGGAAATCATTTGTCACTAACTAGCTATCAATGTTTTCCATTCGTATATCAAAACACAAAACGTCAAGCGAAGTACTGGATCATTTACAGTATCAGAGCAATTCATATATATGCGATTGTCGACATAGTTTTACGTTTCATAATAACCCTTTACAATATTATCTAGTTTTACATTTAGCACACTGAGAGGCAAGAGGTAACTCACATGAAAATGTGAGGCCTTTTCACACTCTGACGTCTAAAAACTGCAAGGCTTTCATAATTATGACCTCGCAGAGTGATGATATTTCATTCTCTAGTTCAGTCTCTAGCTACATTTTTTTTTTAAAACAGGCGTCACTTTAATGAAATCTGAATAACTTTTTAATGCAATTATTGGGTGACTAATGTAGCAATAAACAGAGAACAATCATTTGCACGAAACAGTGAAAGCAAGGCACGCTGAATCATGTTACCTACTAGGATTGTCTCAGACATCTGTTTGTTTGTAGTTTCTTTCCTGTACTGTAAGCAAAGCCTCTGCCACATCTTTTCTGTAGCCAGTTTGAAGGTCAATATATTTACCTCTGTGGTGGTCCGAGGAAATTCCCTCGTCTAGCAAGATCTGGTCTTTCCATGGCACCTGATGATTTTCATCTTCAATAGGTTGCATTTGGTGTAATTCCTTGGGGAATGAAAACGCAATATATTCAGTTATGACAACATATCTGCATGAAAAAGTTCACCATTACAGTTTACACGTAGGTAAACGTCGGAGTTGTCACTTTATGATTATATAATAACATTTAAATAGAGCTTGTGAATTACGTTAATATTTAACACCGTATTCTACCAAAAGATAAATTTTGATTAAACTGTCAGTAAACTACATGCGTCACTGTATTACTAAGTTAAAGTAATTGTAAGCTGGTTAATACATGTCCATGATCTTGTTGAGTGAAGTGGGAAAGAGTTCTTCATTATAAGCTTAATATATATAGATCATGTCGCTTCTCAGAACATAATATTAAGTTGTAGCTGCTAATGGGTTTCAATGACTAATATAATTAGAAATTGAAGAGCTTTTGCTTGTACACCAAATACATTATTCGAGAATATTTGATGTGTTAAAACAATCTAATATGAAATTTAAGTATATTACAATAGAAGTGACTTCCACAAAAGTACATTCATTAATTGTAACAAAGAGTTTAAAGTAGACTTAATAATCTAGTGAATTGTGAGTAATTAACATGATAAGATACATTAATATAAAGTGTTTCCAGGTTATTAATACTGCCATCCAGGTATTTTTGCAAGATGTACTAATTTATACGTCAATGTTTTATATCAGTATGGATATTATCACAGATTATGGGAGTTTTGATTTGTGAGCATTCAAACACCTTATGCAATATGTAATAGTAATCACGATGATATAAATATTTTAAGTAAATCTTACAAAATTACTGTCAGAATCTTCATATGATGATCCTGCAGCCGAAAAGCTTTCCTTCTGGCTTTGGCCTTCTCCTTGATTAACAATTTTACATACAGGAATTTCCAGGTATTTGGAGTCTGCTGAAGAAGTAGTATATTCATTGTACATTAAATGTAGATTGTATTCTAAAAGATAGCTGGAATTTTTGTTTGTGTGTGTGTGTGTATATATGTATATTTATATGAAAAATTATTTTTTTATTTTCTTTACATATTCGTATGACTGGGGTTTGTTCATCCAATTTACCATCTTCCTACATAACAGTTAAATATAACAGAGTATTATAATTAAAAAAGAACACGATAAATGAAGAAGAATTTTAATAAAACGTAACGTATTAATGAGAATTTTCTGTATGATAATACTTTGTAGTTTGTAGCGTTTATTTAGTTTTAGTTACTTAATTAATTTAAACATAACTATGGAAGTACAAAACATTTATGAAAGAAACGTGTAGTTTTAAAACGCTTTCCAATCAAGTATGTTTTATTCATATTAAATAAGTGTCTATACCTGAGGTCTGTAAATATATACTTCTAAGAGCAATCAAGAATAATAAACAAAAAACACGCATACAGATCTGGGCTGATTGGGCTAAATGTGTTAATATTTATGAGTAAATTCGTTAGAGTAAAGATTACGAATTTGGCAGAACGATAATTCTTTATCTGGTATTCTTTAAATATTACTCAATAATTTAATTAGATAAAATCATATAAGCGCCAATACAAAATTAGCCAGTATTAGGCAATATACTTTTGATTAGCCTAGAAGTAATTACAAAATAGTTCATTATATTCCGTGTACTTTGTTTAATGCTTCTTGTACCACTTCTTTATATTAGTTATTTTATCCTTGTAGTTTTGGTACGTTGAATATGCTTGAAATGAATATGAACTACGCATGATTAAATAACTTGTATCTAACTTCATTTTAGATAAATTTGTTCGTGTTATATATATATATATGCATTTATTATGTGGCATAATAAGACAAATGTATCTACATTGATTAAATAGCTGAAACTAGTTGCTTATCAAAGCACTAATGTGATAAAAGTCCATCGCTTGCCATGTGAAGTAGTTAACAAAGTCTGCAGAAGATTATTCCAGAGTCTGCAATGTTCATTGTATTAATTAATTTTCATTGGAAAATACCCTAATTAGAGTATTTCAGTAAAATATTATTCAGTTATGCACGGGAAATTGTAAAATATTATGCATTAAGATTACAGGTTTCAAACACAATTATGTTCAATGTGGACGATGGAATGCTGAGAACATGCTTTTAAAAATGTACTATTGGATCATAAAAAATGCGGAGATTGAATATAGATTTCTTACCTGGTATTACATCAGGACACTTTTCTTCATATATTTCCTTAGAAAGATCCTCGGTAGATATTATTTCTTTATCTGGATGACTAGTATATTCGCTAAAAAAATATTTGTTAAATTTTACATGCAAGGATTTGCTTCGTGGCCATGAAATTGGGTTGTTTATAAAGTGGAAAATTAACAGCAAAGGAAAATCATGTCATGCTAAAACACATATAAGTTATAATTCCCTACGTGCTTTTCTTTTCATTAACTGGAGTGATGTACATTGTATTATTAAATACATTGAGACAACACACCTTTTTGTAATAAGTGAGAGAAAGAAAGATGATACTATTGAGAAGTATGACAAACTACGAATCTTAGTCTGCCCAAAATAACATCTTGTTTGTCTACAGTGAAACCTAAATTTATCGAAGTAGAAACATAGCAAGATTATTAACACCAGTAAGAAATAAAGTGTTAAAATCTAATTCCAATTATAACATTTTAAGAAATTTTCAAAGCCTTATAATTGGTAGTAAAATTATTGTACGTAGATCGTCTGTATGAAATACAACAACAAAATACCAAACACCGTAAGTATTATTTCTGAAACTGCAGTTATTTTTCTAATAGAATAACGAGATTTATTATCAGATTTGTGGCTGTTTGCTAAAATTAATTTCATCTGGTAGGACTTAACTATTGAATCAGATAATAGTTGTATACAATGCTCTTCGTTATATCAAATTATGTTTAAAGAACCGGAGCATTATGCCAAATTATACATTTGTGTTTCAAAACAAAGAAAGATCTATACTTCAATTTTTTCAAACATCAATGAGTAAAGACTAGTTAAGCAACAGGGTTCTATATTCTATTATATATTTTCATATATCTCTTTTTATACGTTTGTAATACGTGTTTTCCGAATCGGTTTTATTCAAGCCTAATAATAATGATAAATATGGTTATTGATACTAGACAAATTCAAGTTTTGTTATTTGTTATTATCATGATAGTACTGTAAATAACTTCAGAATAAAGTAAAGTAAATTTTTTTATGTAGCTTTATTCAAACAACGTAATTTTAAGCGTTCTGTTTCCAAACTGTAAAAAAAAACAATTCTATACATCAATTCTTCTGATTAGAATAGTAATGCAAAGCTGTAGAAACAATTAATAAACTAAACAATATTATAGAATTCTGATATGTTAGAAGCGATATATTTTTGTTTTTCTGAAAGATGTGAGACTAGAGGTTTCGTTAAAAATATATTAAGTAACATTTAATCTATCTATCTATTTAGAGAAAATATAACACATACTTGTCGTTATTACACTTTGTATTCCATAAGTGGCATGAGACAAGTATACATGACAAAGTTAGATTAACTTTTAAATAATTTAGAAAAAGCAATACATGTCCATTCTTTATTTCACATCCCAAATGACTTAATAAATACAGCTAGTGCGTATATATATAGTTTTGCGTGCATGGTACTTTGTAAAACACTTTATTCAACTGTGAAAAGACGGGATTAAATATTTTTCTTGCAGATACGATCCAAGTTAATACTAGTGATGATTATGATTTATGTTTTGCAATTCTATAGCTGTTTAGTGTAAAATATTTACCTATTTTGATAAAGTACTCCTGTCATGTGTGATGCATCTTTCAACTCCAAGAATAGCTATTATCGATAATATCTTAAATGCGTTTTTGCATGATCATATTTCAACAAAACGATGAGGCTCAATATGGAATATATATATTTTACCCCCCCCCCCCAAAAAAAAATATATTTTTTACACGCTCAGAGAACAACCGAGTAAAAAGGTGTAGAATGGGTTGAATTTTATAATTAAGTAAACATTAAGCTATTCGATCTTAAAATATTTGATCTGTAGAAAAAGATAAAAAACGTGACTGTTGAAATAGTATAGACTATTTTCATTCCAAGGAACACACGCGCATAGTTTACCATTATATGATCCACGTTTTTGTGTTCTGATTCAATCTTATTTAACAGCTTGTATTGAAATATTTTCAGGACTTTTCACTGAATTTTAATTAGTAATGCATTGTTTGAGATAATCGGTGTTGAATTTATAAGAAAAGAAAATTATAGATAGTTGAAGAGACAATGAAATACATTATAATGAGAATTTAAGGGTGTGTAGCGGAAAATCTCATTTATTATTAATAACTTTCTTTATAGTGTAATCTCAACATCTGTATCAAAATGTCATTTATTTGCAAATAACATGTAAACTTTAAGAATCTGATAAAATTCAGAATCTAGAAACAAAATGTAAATTAGTCGTAGAAAAAATTATTACAGGAAATTGATGATAAAGAGATTTAGAGTTTTGTTGTTCAACAATACTACATTAGAGTAGAAAGTAGAAGGGAAGGAGAGAATTTTCTTTTCTGTGTTGTATCAGCAGTTATATTTAAGTTGATCATACTCAACCAAGAAATTTACACCCAAAACGTTATGTATATTAAAGTTGTTGCTTTTATGTTGGTAATTTACATTCATTTATTTTACTTGGTATTTTAGGCTCTGTTTGTGTCGATACTCAATCACATTTCATAGTACATATATATTGGGAAACATAAAAAAAAACTGCTTATTTGAAACTTTAATATGTCATTTGATAAAAATGTATAATGTCAGTTTTCACGTTATTCTTGATGTTAATAGGACATAAGAATAATTTATGTTGTAGAGTAATTAAATTTTGTATCCACGAAATCTAATTTGGAAGAAAGTATTGCCGGCACTAGTTGAGCAGGCGCTTAGCTAACGTCGGAACGTGATGAATATTCTTGGTACCAAAGTAAGCAATTAAGGTTATAAGAGCCGTTTCCGTATAAAACTCTTCCATTGTTATAGGTTATTAAGTCATGTAACTTACATGTACTGCTACACTTCTTAACATTTTAAGTTCAGTATAACATAGTGAGACAATCCTGACTCTCAGTTGGCTGTTATCCTTCACACATTCCTGAAAGTGTTGTGGTGGTGAATTTACTAAATTCATCTCGGTAAATTAGGAAACTGACAAAGTAATCTAAACTAAAGTTGAAGAGTTAAACAACTTATGTAGACGATGCATTGAATAAATATATTTTAAGGAACTTTTTTTACGAGAAACTAATAATCTACATATTTGACAAATTTTAAAATAAATCGTAAACAATATTTTCTAAGAAGTAATCTATTTCCAGACTTCTTGTATATAGTGTATAAATGTTCCTGACACAACTTTGGTGCACTTACATTAATCTTTTTCGAGTTCCAGGATTAGACAACAGCAATAATAGGACAAAAACTTCAACAACCAAAAAAAAACCGCTATCTCTGATAACTTTCAAAAAGAAAGCATCAGAAGTGTTAATTAAAATCTAATATTTACTTAACAGAACATTTTTTTTACATTTTTTCTTTAACTCATAAAATCAAGAACATGAAATATAGAGATTCAATGTGTTACGACAATTAGGTGGATAATCGCTTCTTGATGCCGAACATTTTCCCGTGTATTATTATCATCATTATATAATGTACCACCTTATATATTATTGTATAACACCATATATAACCAGATTTTAGCTTTACGAGTAGTTCTTGTCTCGATATATGCAATTACACTACCTGTCTGCTGAATGATAACAAAGGTAAGACTTGTATTCAATGCTGTTATGTTAATTTCTCAGCTTTTCCTTTGCACGTATTTTAGCAAGTTATATCCATTTGCTACGTACAGAGCTTTATTTTTAATTTTATATGCGTGGTGGTAAGGGCGCTCGACTCCCAATTTATAGGTGGCGGGTTTGAATATCTATCACCGAAGATACTGGCCCTTTCAGCCGTGGAAGCATTATAAACTGACAGTCAATCCCACTATTCATTGGTAATAGAGTAATGCAAAAGTTGGCGGTGAGTGGTGTTGACTAGCTTCCTTCCCTCTAGTCTATCACTGCTAAATTAGGGACGGCTATCACAAATACCCCTTGAGTAACTTTGCGCGAAATTAAAAAAAAATACTAGACAAATCAAACCAATTTTATGTTTTTAACTTAAAGTGTAACGGGCATATTGATTAATTGAAACTAATTTTCTTACCTAATAATAACTGGGAGGTACTTCTCCAAAATCTAGCTCCTATTGGCACAGCGGTATATCTGTGGACTTACAGCCCTAAAAACCGGGTTTCGATACCCGTGGTTGGCAGAGCACAGATAGCCCATTGTGTAGCTTTGTGCTTAATTCCAAACAAACTAACAAACAAATCCAAAGTCTGTGCTTATGGCCAAATACAAGACTGAAATGTAGCATGGAAAACAAAATTGATTAATTCGTTCTTCGATGTGGTGTAGAGCTCGTGTTGGAAAAGATATGTTAATAAACAACGTTGTAAACCAACACTAAGTCCACGTGCAAATAGTTTTTTCGATTATTAAAATATATTTACTTGACAAGAGAATACCCTTTTATATTAATAACTTACTTAAATATCGACAAGTTTTACTCTAGAAATCACAAGGAGTTCTATTTAGTCACTAGACTGTAACAAAACTTATAAAACAGAAAATAACTTGATATTCAGATTGATTGACAGAATATGTCTCCTTATGTTAGGTTGTATACATGATGAAACTAGGAATTGGATAAATATTCGATTAGATCACATATTGCATTATCCCATGAAATCAGATCCGACTGGATACTAATTTTGCGATGAATTGGATAATCAGAGAAAAAAAAAAGAAGAGAGAATCCCCAGTAGCCGCGACACTTGAAATTCTTTTAGGCCGAATTAGAGTAAATAAATCTATGAGTATTTTTTTTTCCTTTTCCTTAGCTATATTTTTGTGCACCAGCAGTGCCAAGTGTGGAGCGCGTGTATACCAGATTGGATTTTGTTACTAATCAGGATCTCTACCAGCCTACCCTGAAAGTTTTTAGTCAGGATTAGAGTAAATTATCCTACGAGATCTTGGGTGTGGTCAAATACATCACTCGAAAGGGTTTAAAGCACTGTCTTACACTGCCTTGTGCCACATTCCCATAATGAATGCGCAACGGCCAATACATCCTTTTTAAATTTTCGAAGCGAATGTAGAAGTAAAAAGTATTATATTATAATAGCATAAAATGGTATCTCCTGCCTGTGACGCATTTTAACTATGTATAGCGACATTTACTATACGATCAGAAAATTTCTGAGTAAGGTCTGATAATAAGAGTCAGATATCCAATATCCGACCAAAAGTATCATTTATCCCAGCTCTAACAAAAACCATTAAAAGGTTATTTACAATAATAGTAACTTTTTCAAGAACCACAAAAACCTGTCTGTGTGGATAACACTTCATGGTATTTTTTATCAAACTGTGTGGAATTTTGAAACGTAAAGATATATCAAACAAGCTAAATCTATACTATATATATATATAATCTTAAGAAATCTATCTATCTAATAATATCTATATATAAGTATAGAATAATGAAAATATTAGTCTTACGGAACTTTTCCCTCAGGCTTGCGTTTTTCTAAGTAAGAAAAAGTGCTATGAATATAATGAACTGTCAGAAAATTGTATATTTTTCTAAATAAGATTTCTTATATAAATGAGTACATAAATTGCACTGAATAATTAGAAAGAGATAAAAACAAATAGTATAATAAATGAACAAAATACTTGTGAGTTAATTTACTTTGTTCCACCTTTCACACAAGACATGTAGTGTAGACGAGAGTAATTGGAAGAAGTAATCAATATTTGTATCCAGTTATACAATTTTTTTTCAAAAATAGAGAATGATTCTTAAAACTGGTAACTGATGTTAACTAATTGTTAACTGACTACAATTAAAATTACGTATTTTCAGACGATTTAAATAATTAATGGAATATAGACTATAGATCTTCAAAACAGTAAAGAAGCAGCAATGTCAATTCTTTTGTTAAATTTGTAAAGCAGTTAAATTCAAATTAACATTCATTTCTTTCAAAGATATATTCAGAAATTACAATTAAAAATAATACCATATAAATAAGATAGTAGGGCTCACCTCCACGTGTTCGTATTTGTCTTGTTTTCAGAATAATAACTGCACAAAGAGCAATTAAGACAAAAACCCCGACAATTGATAACAGGGCAATTAAGATGGGATTAACAGGGAATTTCCATTCGGTTCCTGGAATAATGAAAGCAAATGGCGATAAATTAGTGTGGAAATGATACTATTAATACTAATATTTTATCATTTACTGGTGTACGAGCATGCGACAAAACATTTATTCTTCGTTAATTTATAATATTACCATCCTAAGTATTTAAAATGTGATAAATGTTTGTTGTAGCACTTTGATAAGTGATGCGTGCTTGCGATAACCAAACGAGCTGAAATCATGCTTAGAACATTCAAAGTTAAAAAAAAAAGCAAATACTGGAAAATAGACTCAATTATATTCTACTTTTTGATTTTTTAAAAATTAAACAGAACTTAATAATTAATGATAATTTGCAAGTAAAATTGTTTAATAAGTGTAGCGCGTCAGCAGATACAAACAGATTAAATTAATTGATTTGTTAATTTCCACAATTTAATAGCCCAGAGCTCATGTTAGTAGCTCTCAGACAAGGGATCTATAAAATCGTATTTAGCCTAGTGAATAGAGTGAATGTAAAATCGAATGTAATGGAAAGTACGTGTAGCATTGTGTAGGTGGTCTTTAATTGACTAAATAATTATGTTCATGGAAACTACAGAACACGGTAGAAGGGTAAATGTTATCGACTTTAATAACATTTATCGTTCTTCATTATAAAACAGAGAAAAATGACTTAGAAATGAAATTTTACTTCTGTCTTAGTATAAAATACATATGAAGCTTAAACTGGTTTTCTCGACTCTACCAAATTTGGTCCTGAATGGTCAAATCATGAGTACTTTTCACACCTTTCTAGTCTTTCTTTACTTTCTTAGAACATAAAAGTTATGAGTAAAAAATTAAATGTTTTTGATAAGAACACGATTTTGTATTACTTGAACTACAAAGTCGTTAGAACACATATATGCAAAAAGCAGTACATTGAACCCTTATATATTTATATATATTTTTTTTCATGACGCTTTTGGTCTGTATATATTTCTTTAAACAAACGAACATTTAAATGACCTTAGCAACAGGTTCAATGAAGATTTGCTTTGTTCTGAATTTCGCGGAAAGCTACTCGAGAGCGATCTATGTTAGCAATTCCTAATTGGGAAGTGATACACCGTTCTCAACGGGTGTTGTGAACATCGTGTCTGATGCTGGTGTTTGGGTATAGTGCTCATGAAACCATAGCACGACCACCCCTAGGCGACTCTGAACAGCGGTCTCCACCACAAGGAGGACCTGTACCTCGCTTTCTGATTTTGCATTCACTATCCGATAAATCTTTAGGGCAAATATCTCCCTTTTTTATTCAGAAGGACTTAAAGGGGCTTGCTGTCTTTCCAAAGTTAGTTTAGAAGCTTCGTTCTGGAGATACCTTGGTTGAAACATCCACAGCTAAGCACAGTGAACTCCTCTTGATCTCAAAGACCATTGGGGATATATCCATTGAGGTTACTCCCCACGCTTCCTTGAATTCCTCAAGAAGAGTTATTGTTGAGAGGGACTTGAAGTTTATCCTCAAGTCAAAGATCTTTGCTGGTTTCTCCAGTCAAGGAGTTTCAGCAGTTCGAAGGATCTCCACTCGTCAAGATGGTATTGGTGCTGACCTCAGTTCTGATTTTGACGCTTTCATCATCACGTCCACCTGCCACTGTTAAGGTGGGTTATTTGAATTGTAAGGTACGGCCCTATATTCCCAACCCTCTCTGATGTTTCCAGTGCCAGCGGTTAGGTTCTGTCGTGGTTCTGTGATGTGTGCTCGTTGTTGGGTGGGGTTCTCCACCCTGTTTTCCTAAACCTACATAAAAATAACCACTTTGAAACAGTGAAACTGTCGAGGTTTTCGTTCTAATCTCGATGACATTAAGGCCTTGATTGACTCCTATCATCCTGTGTGTCTCTCCTTACAGGAAACATTTCTGAAACCTGCCAATACAGTCACCATTCGGCAGTTTTCTCTGTACTGGAATGACAGGTTGTATGATGGACGGGTGCACGGAGGGGTGACACTGCTGGTCGACCAGCATGTGCCCTCCTTACCTGTGTCCCTCGATACAACCTTGGAGGATGTAGCCATCCGTGTTTCATTGGATCATACCATCACTGTCTGTTCCATCTACCTGTTTCCTGGGGAGACTTATAATCAATGGGACCTTGATGCTCTCGTTGACCAGTTGCTATTTCCGTTTTTAATCCTGGGATACTTTAATGGACACAACCCCCTCTGGAGTTGTGCTGATATTGATTGGAGGGGTCGTTCTGTAGAGTGTATGCTCTCGAATCACGACCTTTTTCTCTTCAGTACTGGAACATATACTTATTTTCATGCACCTAGTCAGTCTTTTACTGCCATTGATCTCTCAATTTGCTCCCTTTCACTTTTCACTCGCTTTTCTTGGATGGTCAACAGTGACCCACGGGGCAGTGATCATTTTCCTATCATTATGAGGGAGGTTGGTCATAGTTCATGCCACCCGACCCGTGTGCCACGGTGGAAGTTGGACTAGGCTGACTGGCCATCTTTCACATCGCTCTCTGAACTTGATCCTGCCTTTGCCTGTCTGCCATCAATAAACGATTGTGTGGTTGCAGTGACTGACTATATCGTCCAGGCAGCTGCTAATTTTATCCCTAAGACCTCGACACTTTTTCCATGGTAGCCTTGTCCATGGTGGAGTCCTGCCTGCCAGGAGGCACAGAAGGCTCAAAAACGGGCCTGGGATACCTTCCGACGGTATCCCTCTCTTTTTAATTGCATTGTTATCAGCGGGCCCATGTCCATGCTAGGCAGGTTCGACGTCAAAGCCAAAAGAAGTATTGGATTAAGTTCACTACTAGCATCTCTTCTACCACCAGTTCCAAAACTATATGGGACAAGATTCGAAAAGTCACTGGGAAGTATGCTTCCCATTCCCTTTCCATCTTACTCTCCAATGGCCAAGAAATTACTGATGTCCAGAGTATTGCTGATGCTCTTGGCTACAGCTTTTCTCGTACTTCTAGCACTTCTGTTTCTTCCCCTGTCTTCTTGGCCATCAAGTTTCGGGCAGAGTGATTGCCTCTTTCCTTTTGGGCCGATCGTCTCTATGATTATAATCGCTCCTTTACACTGGTGGAACTCAAACTTGCTCTTCATTGGTCTGGTAGTACATCGATCAGACATGATGCTATTCATTATGAGATGTTGCACCATCTCTCTCTTGCTTCTCTTTCTATTCTTCTGGTTGTTTTTAACCAGATCTGGCAGGAACATGTTTGTTCTGATGCTTGGCGCCAGGCTATTGTCCCCTTTTCTCTAAACCTAGGAAGGATCCCAAGAATCCTTCTAATTATCGTCCCCGTTGTCTTTGTAAGGTCCTAGAGAGGATGGTTAATGCTCGTCTTGTTTGGTTCGTGGAACCGAGCACGCTTATCTCACCCACTCAGTGTGGGTTCCGTCAACATCACTCTACCATGGACCATCTGATTCGACTTAAAACGTCGATCAGGGAAGCCTTTTTCAAGAAAGAACACCTTGTTTCTGTGTTCTTCGGTCTCGAGAAGGCTTATGACATCACATGGAGTTATGGATTTTTACAGGACCTCCCCTCCTATGGGTTGCGTGGCCATCTCTTCATTTTTATTCAAAACGTTTTACTGAACAGGCGATTCCAAGTTCGTGTGGGTTCAACTCTTTCCCGTCCCTTTCCACAGGACTTTGGAGTCCCTCAGGGCTGTGTCTTGAGTGACACACTTTTTAGTATTAAAATTAATGTCATCACTAATAATCTTCCTCCAACTGTTGCAAATGGGCTCTATGTCGACAACTTCCACATCTCGTGTCAGTCGTCGAACATGAAGTTTATTGAGTGGCAGCTTCAGACTGCCCTCAATCAGTTGTTGACATGGACCACTGCAAACGGCTTTAAATTTTCTTTTTCCAAAACCGTTTGCATATATTTTTGCTGCCAACGGGGTCTCCACCCCGATCCCGAGCTCCGATTTGGCGATCAAGCAGTTATGTGTCAAGTGTGCAAGGACTCTGAACATCCTCCGTGTCCTCTCTTCCAGCTCATGGGGAGTGGATCGATTTTCTATGCTCAGGGTCTATCGTGCCCTGATTCGATCCAAACTGGACCATAGGTCTTTGGTCTATGATTCCACCAGGACCTCAGCCTTGAAGATGCTGCACACCATTCACCATCTGGGGCTTCGGGTCTGCACCGGGGCTTTTCACACTTCTTCTGTCCAGAGTTTGTACACTGAGTTCCACGAACCTCCTCTTCACCTCCGTTGCTTGCAACTTTCTTTACAATATGCTACCAAGCTTCGATCCTTACCATGGCATCCCGTCTGGGATTGTGTCTTTCTTCTTCGATGTGCCATGCTCTTTTGAAACAGATGGTCTGCTATTCCTTCCTTTGGCCTTCGTAACCAGGCACAACTGGTTGAATTGGGTCTGGCATTGGATGACATTGCTGTCCCCAATGATCAGCACATTCCACCATGGCTTATTACCATCCCTTCCTGTGACTTTTCTCTGAGTCATCTGAGGAAGGCGGATACTCCCGATTGGTAGTACCGTCTTCTTTTTTGCTGAACACCTTTCGAGCCATTCTTCTCCTCCTATTTACACAGATGTTCGAAATCGGGTGACTCTGTAGGATCTGCCATGGTGTGCTGTGGCTCGGTAGTTGCTCGCAGGATCCCCTCTACAGTTTCTGGGTTCACTGCCAAGTTGTATGCTATTTCTCTTGCCCTGGATCATGTAGAAGCTATGCAGTATAGTGATTGTACTATTTACTCTGATTCTCTTGGCTCTCTACTGGCCCTGGAATCGCTTAACGTTAGTTCTCACCCTGTTCTTGTCAATATTCAACACCGATTAGCCCACTTTCTCTATCTTCTATTTCCATCCAGTTTTTCTAGATCCCTGGCCACGTCGATATTCGCGGGAACGAGCTCGCTGACATTGCAGCTAAGTCCGTCTGCTCTGGTGCCATCACAGCCGTGCCTGTCCCATACATGGACTACGGTCCTGTCTTTCAGACGCGGCTTCGTGCCAGTTGGCAGTCGACTTGGGGTGAGAGACGTCATAACAAGCTTTTCCAGATCAAACCTTCTGTTGGTCTTTGGCCATCTTGCTTCCGTAAGGAGGAAGTAGTCCTGGCAAGGCTGCGCATTAGTCATAATTTTTTAACCCATCGTTTTCTTTTATCAGGTATTGACCCACCGATGTGTAGCTTTTGTGACACTCAAGTCACAATAGCCCACATTTTACTGTCGTAACGACCATGAGCGGCGGCACCATTTTAGACACATGTATTCTAAGAGTTTACCCCTGACGTTGGACAGTGTCATTGGTAATGGTGACACTGTCCCATTACATTGTATTTTTAATTTTTTACACACTATAGGTCTTTTTAATTATATATAAATCTTTTATCGACATATATTGGTTTTAACTCACTGTATTTTTACATTTTACTTTAATTTCACTGTTTTTACCGGCTGTTTAGCGCAGATAGCCTCGTTGCTGTGCGCTATAAAGCACCAAACAACCAACCAACCAACCAAATTGTACATTCATGATAAACATAAAAAAAAACATATGTTGAAAGTGTTAATTGATAAATAATGTAATTATATTTAAAATAATTTACTTTAGCGCTAAAAATATAGAATACCTTCCAGTGTTTCAGCGGTAAGTCTGAGGGACTACAACGCTAAAAATCAGGTTTCGATACCCGCGGTGAGCAGACCAAAGATAGCCCATTGTGTAACTTTGAGCTTAACAACAAATACACAAAAAAATGGAAACTATGATTAATAAAGGATCAGAATGATATGTAATAAAACTAAACGAGTTAAGTTTCTGTAATTTTTATCGAAATCTAAATGACAAAGAAATTGCAATTCTGAAGATGAAACTTAAGGTTACACTGGTAATTATATTTTCAATGTCATGGTTTATTCTAACGTTATCAAACACTCATGAACTTCAAAATTATTCATCATGTTGTACTAATTACATGAAGCATTACCTCGACGAGACTGGGTTTCGGGTGTCTGCAGTGTTTTTCCTTCCAGAAGTAATGGCTCGCTTTTACCCTGGTGGCTAACAGCGTAAAGCTTAAGCTCAAAATTCGAGCCAGCTGGTAGGCCTCTCATAAAGAAAGACGGCGAAGTCGTGGAAAAATTTGTCACAACACTGCCAGTCGTGATATCGTAAACTTCTACGAAAAGTTCCTGTGTAAAGCTTCCGTCGTATCCTTCTGTGCAATCTACTGCGATGCCATTTTGAGTTTGGTTGGTCAGAAAACAGTTTTGAATTGGTTCAGGAGGACCTGAAATTAGAAGGTCACTTTCAAACGTGTAGATAAGAACACATAACAAAGAAATAGATAAACTTCTAAAAAATTACGCTCTTTCAATGTTGGATGAAAAAAAAACATTTACTGAATTATGTAAATAATTGCAATTCGTGACATTCGTTATGTATGAATCATAAATATTTTACATTTCCTCCATAAGTCTTCATATAGACGTCATGTGTATTAATGTGTTTTGTATTACTCCTTCAAACACAATATTTATATGTTATGAGGTCTGTCTTAAAAGCTAGGGAAAGATAACAACTCCATAACCTGTATTTTGAAACTTACAGTATTAAAAAATGCATACAAAAATATCTATGTATATTATTCGGTGAACTGTTGAAATGCTTAAGATATGTAATTGTACTTTAAGTACTACGATATGTTAGCTGTAATATAATCATATAATATGTTGGCTTGATTATAATCAGATCTGATTACATAAATACATTGTTTAGAATGAGGAGCAACTTAGAAAACAATATATTATGTGCAATAAGTAATGATACTCTAAGAGGAATCAGTATGCGTTGGCAATGTTAATCTTTCACGTTTCACTAAGTGGTCCTTTAAAGTAATACTACTGTTTTAGATTATTAAATAGAGCTTTTATAAAACAAAGCTTTTGCTACGTATAACATACAATAACATGTAAAAAGATGAAACATCGATAAAACGAGTTTTTCTCCCCTTAAAAGCGACATTTTGTTATGTTAAGAAAACTATACACAGCTATAATTAGATCGTGTGACAAGTACGTTATAATTTGGATCGTTGCAAGTGTTACGCATGTGAAAGAACAATAGTAGTGACATATTAACAGAATTCTTATTTCCGTAATAGAAAAATAACGTCAGCAAAAATTTATCCATCTTAGCTAAACAATTTTTCACCCGCTAATATGCCAACACGTAAATCACTGTTCAATGAGCTACGCCTAAAAATGAAAAAGTTACTTCAGCCTCTCCCAATTCCCACTTTCTGGATCAGTCTAAATCTATCTTCATCTACTATTAACAAAACAAGACCTCTGTTCGGATCCCACTACTACTGTTTTCCAACGCGTGTGATTAATGTATTTGTTATGCTACCTAATTTTTAGCTCTGTATAGTTCTCTTATCTTGATAATAGTTGGTTACTCGAACCGCTGCTTAAAAAAAAAATAAACTCATTTTTCCCGACGATGTCTGTTTTATCTAGTTATTGTATGTTATCTTCTACCACAAAAATGTTAGTGGGACCTTCACCAGCTTGTAGTAAGTATAATTTACATTGATGAGAGGCTGATGTAAATTACAGTGCCACATGTTTATCATGTATTTTATGAAATGAGTATTTATTTTGTTTAAAAGTTCACACTGATAATACATTTTATTTTTCCCGAAGAAAAGCTTTAAAACAAATAACATATAATGTTAATTAACGATGTGTCATGTGAAGTTCATAATCTGACAACTGCAGAATTATAAAATGCTTACAAACATGTCTGTTACTTTCGGTTAGAAACATGTAACTGATAGGTTCAACGAGAGGTTGATGTACTAAAGAACACATGTAACATATACTTTCACTAAGGATGTGTCATGTGAAGTTCATAATCTGACAACTGCAGAATTATAAAATACTTACAAACATGTCTGTTACTTTCGGTTAGAAACATGTAACTGATAGGTTCAACGAGAGGGTGATGTACTAAAGAACACATGTAACATATACTTTCACTCTGTATAATTTGACTTATTTATAACTCTCAAAATATATTTTCAGACTTATGCGTATATCAGGCGCTCCTTAATACTTATACCTTTTATAGAAACCTCACGTGAAAGCAACAGTTTTAATCAAATTATGTAGCTTTATAACTCAAAATATACATTTAAATTGAAAATGTTTAATTTCATTCTTTACTAAAATTATTTAGGATTTAAAACGTGTCTAAGACCAACAAATAAGCATAAACCAGGTAAAGAATTCGCACTGCTTTAACAAATGAAGAGAGCAAGGATGATTGGATTATTTCGCATTCAAATTCAGAGACACATATTGAATAAACAGTCTATGTGAAACATTTTAATGGATGTTATAAATAAGAAATCAAGAAAACAGCTTTGGGTAAAGAGTATCAGTATATTTATTTTTTATTGTTCACTCGAGGATTCTAAGAACGGTTGTAACTCATTTCCTAAATGCGCCTTGTAGTAAAGTTCACCTCAAACATTCATTGTTTCCAAAGTTTCACACACACACTAAGCTTAGATTTCAAAAAATATACGTCGTCTTTTGCACAGTTAGGCTGACTTTATACATTGCATAACAGTGATCTTAAATGGCTTGCGTTGCAAAGATGGATAAGAAAGTAGCATTTGTGAACTATTCCACCGATTCCAGATGGCTATTATCCTACTCAAGGATGGTAGTTGGGATGAAATTTTTCATTGAGAATGTGATTTTAAGTACCATTATGTGTCATTTGTTTTCTCAGCATACAGCTCATGGTAATTTATGATTTCACATGATTTCAAAAGATAGTCTTTTTTTATATAAATTATATGTCTTTAAGTTCTTTACAATAGTTTTGATGCTTTTGAGAGCAAATATAAGATATTATACCTTTTTTTCCTGTAACAGAAACACTTTCAAAATGATATAAATGAGTAATTATATAAAAACGTAAACTGAACAAAGATATTTTTATATTCCTCAACGGAACTTTGTAGCTACTGTAACACAGTCGTAAGTTTAGACTGTAAATGCGACATGTTATGCAAATATATAAACATAACAGAAACGAACTTGAATACTTAAATAAAATATATGTGAAGTGTTTAGATATTTTGTGGTTTTCAAGTTCTATATAAATTCTTTATTTCGTGAAGCTACAACAAGAAAGGAAACGTGTTCAATATTCCATACTCGAGTGAAAAACATATGCAGTTGATACAGCATTACAGGGAGTAAAAATTAAATAAACTTATAATTTTATTGAAAATTATTTAAATTCAATTTTAAATTAAAAGAATTTATTATAACAAAAGAGTAGAAAATGTTAAAAAAGAAATATAACATTAAATTATTTTTTCTTTAATTATAAGATTTTAAATTAAACTTATTTCTTGTTGAATATATTCCAGAAATGAGTATAAATAAATTTTATTTTATTTTAAAATAATATAAAAGTTTATTAAGTATTATTGTGATTTACCAAAGTATAACTTTTCAAAAATATATTTCGAATCACCGGTGATGTATATTAATAGATAATTAATTAAAACGAACATATATTACGTTTCCATATATTATATTATTGTGGAATTTATTTACAAAATCCAAATATACAAACATCACTGTATTTGGATGAGAAAGTAATGTTGTCATTGATTAGGCACTACTAAAAGTTTCTATAAGTTTTACCACACTTCACCTGCAGCAATGATGGAATAGACGCAAGGAACATCTTGATTCCCGACACTATTAGTTGAATAACAGGACAGGCTTCCATACTCGTATTTTGATTTCGGGACGTACCTTACAGTGCTCATTGTTTTGTGAGAACTAAGGCTACTGATGTCACGTGTATCATGTGAATTGTTAAATCTCCACTTAAATACAACATCTTCGGGGTCACTTTCAACTTCACAGGTAACAAAAACGGGCTCATTCACTGCAGTTGCGTAAATAGTCTTTTGACCTGGCTTACAGGCAGGGGTATCTGATGAAATAGGAGATATATATATATGAATAGACATTTTGCAGTCTCACCTTCTATGATGTTATCAAAATCTTTTTTTAATATTCAAATGGTTTATTTAATGTATTTTGCTTAATTAACGTTACATTCTATCCATGTTTAAACGTTCTTCATGTTGTCAGATTTTTTGACATGTCATTTTTTAAAACTGTTTTAAGATAGTCCCAAGTTGTTGTTTTTTTCAAAGTTATACATATATAAAATTACAATAGCTACTATCCATAAGTAAATATATAGTATTATATATGTATATGTATATATATATAGTATTGGAAATCTATTTTGGATCATGATACCATTTATTGTAGATACTCTACATTGATCATGATATCATTCTTCGCTCCGTCATCGTATAACACTCTGCCCCTTTAAAGCTTTTTTGGTTTGATAACCTCTCTTCAGCAGTGGTTCGTGAGCAGATACGCATCCAATGAGACTACCTGTGTACTCATATCTTCATGTTTTCTTCTTTTTTTTTCTTTTCTTCAATGTAGAGTATCTACAATAAATGGTATCATGATCAATGTAGAGTATCTACAATAAATGGTATCATGATCAATGTAGAGTATCTACAATAAATGGTATCATGATCAATGTAGAGTATCTACAATAAATGGTATCATGATCAATGTAGAGTATCTACAATAAATGGTATCAGATCAATGTAGAGTATGTACAATAAATGGTATCATGGTCAATGTACAATATCTATAATAAAGCATAGTGATGACTCAGTACAAGAGTGGACCTGCAATGGTGCCGGTGATTTACACAAAACTGATGGTCTTTTAACTGCTTACAAGTATACAGTATAATTCTAATCAATCATGTTATCCCCTCAGGAACACGATTTTCATCGGGCAGAAATTTACCTTTCTGCAAAAAAGTGGTTCCAAGTACACTACAAATGTGGTGAATGCTATTGTGACGGTAACTAGGCCAATGAAACATTCGCAGCCATGAATTGGTCTGCACAAAGTCTTGATATTAATATCCTTGATGTTCTTTCGACTTATGTAAGAAGTGAGAACGCCAAAAGACGAACAAATGACGTGACTGAATTTAAATGGAATAATACAGAACGATTGGAACTATATTTCACAACAGTTCATCTAGACACTGAAACAACATAGAAATAATTCATAATGTTTTACGAAAACAAAAGAGCTCTCATACAAAATGTTAGTGTATTTTCCCACTTTTTTATGTGGTAATGGTACTATGATTAACCGGCCCGGCATGTCCAGATGGTTAGGGAGTACGACTCGCAATCTGCGGGTCGCGAGTTCGAATCCCCGTCACACCAAACATGCTCGCCATTTCAGCCGTGGGGGCGTCATAATGTGACGGTCAATCGCACTATTCGTTGGTAAAAGAGTATCCCAAGAGTTAACGGTGAGTGGTAATGACTAGCTGCCTTCCCTCTAGTCTTAAACTACTGAATTAGGGACGGCTAGCGCAGCTAGCCCTCGTGTAGCTTTGCGCGAAATCCATAACAAACAAACTATTATTAACAAATTCATTATCTATTTGCCGTTACTTGTTGTTTGCGACTTTTGTATATTTATCTCCTTTGTGTTTCCATAATTATTTCTGTTGCCACATATAATATGTAGAAATATACATATATAAACTACTTCTACAGCTCACTAATAAAAAAATAAGAAAATAAAAACATATTCAGTATATAGCATTAGTTGAAAGGTTTGAATGCTATTGTATAATTATTCAGATATGTATGCTAACAAGAAAATGACTCTAGATAAACTAATTAAATGTTACTTATTGGTCTTAAGCATTTACTTAATATATACTTGCATAGCTATAAGGCATGATATTTTAATAAATACTTTCAGTACAATATTTCTACGCGTGATATATATACTTTCAATAAAATAAACTGTTGTTCTCTACTAAAAGGATCTCTATCGTTTTATAAGACTGCGTAATGGAAAAAAGACACACACACACACACATATATAGACATACATATTGCGGTCATGGTTTAGTAAAAACAAAATCCTGAATCTTTAAAAACATAACTGAAGTCTTGAGAAAGCATCAAGAAGATCGAATTCCAAATGTTGTTAATAATAGTTTCTTGACTCCCTATTATTTTATTTTATAATGTCACAGCAATATCTACTAGACGCTGTTTATCTTCACAAGGTAAAATAACTAAATTATCTAACACTGCTGACAAGAAATCATTAGCATGATGTACCGTGCAGAAGACATTAATCTGAAGAAGTCAGTTTCGTTAATGAAATTTATAAACATAAAACTTTGATTACTATTTATTTATTTACAGTACTGAGAGAAAAATATAGCAAATATTTCGGAATTTTTCAGTATGTTTATTATTATTTGTATTAATCCTACCGTTACGGTATTCCGTCACGTTAAAGTGTAAGGTTATTAGCCAGTATTTTCAATTAGTTAAATTAACTGAGAAATAAATCAATAGTTTGGATGTTGACCAAGATGAGCTAAAACTAATTGCGATCAAAACTTCAGTTCTCAGCTGGTGACCATTGTGATGAGTATTTTTAATTTAGAATAAATCGAGAATTAACTTTGTATTCGAGTATATATTTAATAATTAGCTTCACTTTTTTCTATTGTAAAGAAAAAATACATGTAAATTTATATGAGGCGTTAATGTTTTGAAAATATTCCATTAGAAGTCGAGTTTGCCGATTTACTGTTTTTAGCGTTCTATCCATCGCGAGGAATCGAACACCAGATTTTAGCGTTTTTAGTCCAAAACTTACCGCTGACCCACCGGGGTATCCGCTAAGAGTTTGTATAACACTAATAAAACCAGTAATTCCATGTTTGCTTTTTTTAATATAAAAGGAAACTGAATTAAAAATGGGAGTGTAAGGTATTTGGTAAGTCAGGTCACATTTAGGGTAAAAAGGGTAAATATGTTTTATGACTAACAATAACATGAGGAAATGCGTGATTTAAAGCAAGTTATATTCTATTCTAATATCCTACAGTAAAATATATAAATGTAACTGTAACAATTTTACCAATTACTGTATTGTTTAGTTTCATCTTAGTCGTTTATGTTATGTATTTTTCTTTTGGAAGAAATAACTTTACAACTTTCTGTCAATTAAACCTCACTTATTGATACAACAACAACAAGTTCTCGCTGATATTGATTGTTCTACAAACACTGCTACACAACTGCTCACATACATGTTTCATCTTTTTTTTTTATAATTAAATGGCTATTTCGATAACAGAATGAATTGTTAAAACAATCGTATCGCTTTTGAATATAAAGGTTAAATCTAAGTATTATAAACATTTTTCTGTTTGAATACGTATTAAAAATATTGTAGCTGAAAACTAAATATTTCTTTCAATTCTATGCCTTTTGTTTTATAGTAGTCACGTGAAACTTAACGTGGAGTTTTGGAAACTACATTTGAGAAGAAAAATAAAAATAAGGATAAGATAGAACCAGAAATATTTTGAATTCATTGCAGAAATTATCTTAAATTTATCAAATATAGTTTCAACTTTTATTCACTGTTGCTATTATCAATAACGCTAAAAATTATCCCTGTAATGGATATAGCGAATTTCATAGAAAGTGCTAACTTATAACGATTAGAATACAATGATATATCAGTTAGATACCCTCTCTCCTAAACTGTGTTTTCGGTGACAATCTTAAGAATATCCCACGAGGTTCACCCAGCTTAGTATATTTGGTTAATTATATATTCATATACCAGCGATTCAAAATGATTTCCACGGAAAAAATAATAACAGTGAATAATGAACAATAAATACATTATGGTCGTTAATGCCATGTAGTTTTCTTTTGGAAGAAATAACTTTATATATATATATATATAAACACCCATACATATTAAAAAATCATCCAGTAATGTTAATAAAACTTAAATTAAAGAAGTAATATAATCTAACTTACTTAACAAACCAATCATTAATTGTTTGTTTCATGGGCTATCATTGACTCCCTGACCCTTGATATGTATAAATTATTCATAAGAAATATTAAATAACACACGTATAAACGTTCGTATTAACAAATGTGTTGTCATATCGGAATAGGTTTACATATATTTGTGGTATATGCTTACGCTGTACCCTTAGGAAGACAGTATTGCTCGCCCCACGACCCTCACTGTTGGCTGCTGAACAAGTATAGCGCCCTTTACCCGTTCGTTTTACGTGTTGAAGAACCAGTGTTTGATTACTGATTATGATACCAGCTGTTGTGTTGATTTGCACCTCTCGTCCCTCAAACTTCCAGGTGATATCTTTCACCATTGGATTTGCTTTCACGCTGCACTCAAAATATACGTCGTTTCCTTCTTGAATATGGCTGTGGCGTAATTTACTACCGAGGCGAAGGGAAAGCTTTGGTGGATCTAAGTTAAAAAAAAGATTACATATATATATATATTTGCAGATTATCTTATAAAAGTTTGCCTAATCAAATCTTTAACGTATTTGATGAATCACAATAGATATGAATTGTTTAGTTACGTAAAATATAATGTGGCTGGGAACACATTCTTCCAATATTGAAATGGATTACAGAAAATTAAATTATTTTCTCTGATCTTGATTTTGTTCAATTTTAGTATACATAAAGAAAAATAATTTCAGAGATTAATATAATGATCAGGTACACAGGATAATCTGAATTTAGCATCCAAGTACATTTGTCGATAAAGAAGCACGAAGAATAGTTTATTTGATTTATTATTATTAGTTTTGAAGAAGTGCATAGAAACAGGTCCACGCAGTATAAAGAGAAGCCAATTATTTTTTGGACGTAAAGCTTTTACAGAAAATAATACATTATATACATTATTTATGTATTGATAATTTTTTTATGTTGTCTGAAGAGCATTCAAAAACATTTTAACTGTTTTTTTTATTGTCATTATTTATTTGTGTCCATCCAGGAAGCATATATACAACCCGTATATACCCGTCTCTACCACTATCATTGTTCATATAGTATTTATATCTAAGACGAACGGTAAACTCGAGTTGTTGCTTTGAACTTCTACTGTGATATATTATAGCTTAAAATTAACAAGTTCTCTCATTTTATTTAGAAGGAAATCAGTGATTATGTCCACTTGAAAAATTGAAGCCTATATCACAACTCATTTGAAGATTACTAAACGCAAGCATATGAGAAGACAATAAAATAGCTGAGCAAATGAAATACCTGATTCTAATGTTTAAAATACAATATAAAAAAATTAACTGCATATAGTTGTTTAGACGATCATGCTTTGAAGCTCGTGCGGAGGAAATGGATACAAGCTGCATTTAGCGATATGCCTCGGTGTTTGTTTTAAGATTTATCGGAGTTTAGTGAGCAATAACGCTATGTTTGACACTTTATAACACTAAAATACTATATATAGCTAAGGTAGTACGTGCCATGTTGTTAGTCGATACCCTACATTTTTAGCAATCATAACACTTGTATTGTAGGGTTTCTAAGTTCGATCCTTACAGTTAATTTGCAAATATCAAAATCTATTGTACTTTCAGTGAACGTCAACAATGAGACCAAGTAGTCTTCAGCTTGTAACTTTATGTAAATATATTTTAAAAACATAATACACATAATATTTGTAATGCAGAATGACTAATGGAACTTGTACTTAATTATTATTACTTAAATATTCAGAATTAAGTTAAAATTTGATTGGAATGCATTGAGTTGCTAATATTTCTACGCTATCGGTAATAGCATACGTATATATAGGCATATAATGTATTTTAGATTTTTAGATGTACCTTAATTATACTGTGGATAACTCCAAAGAATATTAAAATTATTAAGGACATTTTTGTATACTAAAGAGTAGCCTGTGAAGCTAAAAAACAGGTAAAATAAAGAAGAATTTGATGAAAAAATAAGTTATTTTATAGTTAATGTATTATGAGAATTTTATTCCTTTATGTATGAGAAGTAAAAGGATATAAATAGAGTTGAGGAAAGACTGTGTTATATTACTCTCTTTACACTACGCTTTACAGACATAAGTACTGGGTTTATTGTAATATAAATAAACGTGATTTTGATAGACTCAACAAAGTAATCCTCAGTGCCTTTGCATAAAAACTAAACTGTACTCTTCAATTCACTTTAATTAGAGTTACCTGAGAAGTTTTTTTGGTGTACAAAACTTGAAGCTAGCTTTTATATGCGGAAACATCTGTTTGCTGAGTTCTTGCACAGATCTTAAAATATAACGTTGATAAACGGAAACATCGGCAGATGTAGATATGTAGATTTTGAAAGTCGAGTTGTTCAAAACTTGAAAATAGTGTTGATAACTGGACCAATTGTTGGTTGAGATGTTGCAAAGGATATATCTTCTGAAGTTTTTCGCCAGACACTAATCATAGCAGAACCGTCTGGAAAAATGATCTATAGGAAATAGTACAGCTTATAAGATGAGTCAGATCAACGTAGGCCGGTAAGGCAATCACTGATTGGCATGTTTATAAGCCAATCGCGGATAGCAGATTGAAAATTATTGCAAATGGTCTGTCAACCTTTCGTCTCTATATTTTGGAAGCTACCTTTATTAAAACACATAAACCTGCCCTTTGCCGCCAAAAGGAATTCCTAAACAATCTACACTACCTTCAGTAGGTCTGTGACATTTCCTGATTGTTTTGAACAACTCGACTTTCAAGATCTACATATCTACATGTGCCGATGTTTCCGTTTATCAACATTATATTTTAAGATCTGTGAAAGAACTCAGCTAACAGATGTTTCCGCATATAAAAGCTATCTTCAAGTTACTCGAGATTGAGTGAACACATAGACTGAAATATACTTTGCGATAAACATTAATTCTAGTTGACCATAAACTCATGGGCCTTTCCTACTGGGGTATTGATCAAAAAGTGTCTATTTTCAAGAGATGGATTTTTGAGAGTGTATTATAACTAAGCGTATGTCCATCAGTATTGTATATGTAACTTAAATTTCTTTTCGTATAAGAATGAGAAAGTAAAATGGATGTAAAAATACTTACAATGAATGTTCAATGTCCACCCGGACTCAACCTTACTGCCCTGGATCAAAGGATTTTCTGCAGTACAAGACAGATATAACCCATTGTCCTCAATTGTCGGTTTAAATGACAAGATACTTGTTGTGGCGTTTCCGTTCACAGACACAACAGACTTGGCAGATTTCATTGGAACACTTCCTTTACACCAGGATATAACTGCTGGAGGTCTCGAACCAACAGAATAACATTCTATTTGGGTAAATGTTCCAGCAGAAAGGGAGTGTTTATCTCCTTGGAGAGTTACATCAAGAGGCCTAACTGGTGAGTATTTAAGATAATAGAAAACGTTCATTCTTTGAAGTTGACATAAAATATAGCAAATAATTCTGCAGTTTTAAAGACGAATACGTATTATATCGTTCATTACGTCCTTTTGTTATTGAACAAAAGATACATTCGCATATAGGATATTTACATAACTTTACTCAAGATTGCATGGGATTTTTATTTCTTATATTTTTTTATCAGAAAATGGTTAGATATTCTTGAATAACATATATTTATATATTGTGGCTGAAAGATGCACGTTATTCATTTGTTTTTACGATTCACTTAATGCTATAAATTCAAAATTGAAAATCTGGATTTTTCATAATCCTTTTACATATATTAATTTAATAGACACATTTTAGTGTTGTAAGATTAATTTAGTATATTAATTTTGCTTTTTTACCCTTTGTATACGATATACTTACCTATCATAAAGCAAAACATTAAATATATATATATAATTCAAATAAAAATGGCAAATATTAGTCCAGAAATAACTTGTTATAAACAAATAAATAGAAAAAGAATCCAAATCATTGTTTTTGACTTTTTGAAAAGAACGATTAGTCCATTACTCATGTTTATATTTTACACATGGTTATATCGAATAACATAGGAAAGATTTGTAAAAGAATAGGAAAGCAAATTCTATGCTTCTATTCTATGTTCATTTAGTCTGTAAGAATACACAAAACTTACAAATCTCAGATTACCAAAACAAAGGTGGCAATAAACTGTCTTATTAACTTGATATGAATATTTTAAGTTAACATTGTTAGCGTTAGAGAAAACCAAAAACATATTTATTTTTTTTGTATTTCATATACATAAAAGTTTAAATATTTAGTGTTGTTCTTTATAATAAAGCTAATAAAGATGATAAAAAGTTTAGTAGTTTACTACAGTAAAAACATAATACAAATGCAGCGTAATAAAGCTAGTCACAATTACGCGTGTTTTTAAGCTATTTAACAAAATTATCAGATATACTTGTAATATGGTTAATTGTAAATTATAAAAATGTATCTGATGATCACTATTTTAGTTATTCTTCCACACACACACATATTAACCCCTGAAGACCTTCACGTCATTTGTATAGGGAATCAATATTTTGTTTCAACAGAAGGCAAGCAGATGGAACTTAGACCATCTCGACATGCACCGTTACGTTGTGCTGCCATTTAGTCTTTAACGGTTCTCGGTTGACTGCCTTTCACGTTGCACTGAGGGAACATTGAAATATTAAATCCTTCAAGCCTTAGAACCTTATATGATAAATACCAAGGAAACGTAAAAACAAAGAATAGGGCTTTAAAAGACTAAATTATACATACATTTTAACAAATAGAAAGAGAGAGAATTGTTTTAGAAACTTTCAAATAAATATTTGAGCTCGAGTACTAATCTTAAAGATCAGTACTTTTTTCTTATTTTTCTCCAAACTTATAATAGAAATATTGTTGTATTTTACAAAACTATATATAACCTAATGATTATTTCATTTAAAATATTTTTTAACATTTGACTTCTTTAACAACTCGAAATATTTTGAAGTTTGGGTGATTTTGGGGCGTAAAGCTAGTAGACATCAACTTTACACCAACATTTTAATTTTTAAAATGTTTTCTTTGATGGGTTTGAAAAGTCTATTTTATTTCATTTATGTTCAGACAAATATTAAACATGACCCTTTTTAAGATTATGTCTAGAAAGTTAAACCGATGAGAATTATAGCCATCCTTCATATGCAGCTTGGTTTTGTAGGTTTTTTTTTAACATTATTTTATAATATGATTTCACAGAAATATTAAACATGTGGTCGATATGCAATAAACACAAACTAGTAACGTAATGATCATAAGTATAAGTAGCAAGAAAATGTTAATTATCCGTTTCTATATGCATTTATTAATATCGTTAGAACTGATTAAGGTGAATAACAAGACTTATACTTAATGCAGATACGCCTTTAGGTATTTAAAATCAATGCATTAACATTTCAAGATGTAGCCTTAAAGATGTATTATTAAACAAATCGAAGATTGACAGTTTCTACCTTGTAAAAATGTTCCACTACTCAAAGAAGGGAATTTCTGTTGGAACCTTGTTCTATTTTTAAACTTTAAAGAAATGGGAGATTGAGCACTGGGGATTAGTTACTTTTTTGTATGTTGGAACAAGAGGAATGTAATGAGCGGTTTTGTTAGCATTTTTTACATTTCTTTATGGAAAATCTGGAGGTAATCAAATATAAATAATTTACATTGCTAAAATAAAATAAACTTACAATTCATGTTTACTGTAACTGAAGTAGAAGAAGGCAGAGTGAAGCCATTGTTTGAAGCCTCGCACGTAAAGGCTGCCATTAAATCATGACGCTGTAGTGACGGGATTCTTAACATATTTCGAACTATGAAGTCAGCTGTAACTTCAAACGTATCATCTAATAGCACAGATTCCCTCCACCAAGTTACATTTGGTCGTGGATTTCCTGAAAAACAAAACAAAACTAATGTTCTTATAAAATACCACTGTACCCTTTTATGTATATTTTTATTATTAATAAAGCACATTTTAAAGATTAAAATTCCCTTTGCAACTGATAGATGAAATACATATTACTGCAGTATTTGTAGGTCAAGTAAAGAAACTGAAAAAATGATGAGTAATCCTTGAAACGAACAAAAATAATTTTGTACGTTAAATTTGTTTTGTAAAAAAAAAGAATGTTTACATATATTTATAACTTATCAACATCAAAAGAATCGGCCCAATAAACAAATACCGACATATAACATTGGTTACACTGCACTGCAAAGACATAACTATATAATCTACCTATATATATATATTTCTGTCTACGTATTGTACAACAAGCTGAAGTACCCGTCCCATGGACGGAAGTTGTGTAAATTCGTGATTAATGAAAGGTTATCTTAAGACATGAAAAGTTGCCTCCCTTATATGTAATTGTAAAAAACGGAAAAACACCCAAACAAACTCCAAAACGCAAAATGAAAAACTGAAAATGTTTACATATGTCCCCGTGGACAAAAAAAACTTCATGCAAAATTTGGTGAAGATTCAAGAGAGGGCGATGTAATGGTAAAAAATGAGAAAACCGCAAAACGTAAAATGCAAAACTGAAAATATGTATACATCTCTCCATGGACCTAAACAACCTAATGAACCTCCATGCCAATTTTGGTGAAGATTCAACCACACCCTGAGAAGTGGTTACATGGACATACAACAGACAGTACTATTATATTTATATAGATTTCTTGAAATATGTTTTTATAATAATTTGTAATAATAGGTTTAAAATCATGTAGCTATGGATGTAAAATTATAATTTTAATTGTATTTATCTAGCGAAGTATGCGTAATATCACAACATAGTCTTACGTTATATTCATTTTAATATATTAAAATTTATACGTGTTTCCTTATACGTGTTACAAATCCACTGTTAGATCCTAATTTACACCTTGAAAGTTCATTCTCCTCATTTTAAACTGTCTGTCTGCTTACACGACCTTTTATAGGCTTGATGATTAAGAAGGTGACCTTCTTTGGTAACTTATTAGCTTTTCTCATTGAAATACTGAACTGTGTGGACTTTACGATATACAGTGGAATTCACAAGACCGTTTTGAAGCTTGTCTGTAGGGAGCAAATGTCTTGTGGTTTTTTCTATCTGAAACTTATATTAAAGTATTGTCTATAGTTCTTGTTTAGGTCGTTCGACTTCAAAGCTCCGTTCTACCTATTTATATTTCTAGTTTAGCTAGCTCTGTTGTCAGGTTAGTACACCTAGTCCAGCGAATTGTGAAGAAACTTACTTTTGGTACTTTTATAGTAAAAAGCAATTATTCAAAGCTAATTTTATATATATATATAATATATATTTAGGTATTTGAGTTTTTAAATTAGTATAATTCGATTCAAATCGCCATTATCCTTACTGTCAAGATTTCATCGCAGCGGCTTTTGAACGTCTTCATTTGATACCTCCAGCCCAAGTTCTAATTTTGTTCGGAGACTGCGGTTCTGCCTTGCCTGTGTGTCATTCATTAGCCAAGAATACTAAAACAATTTGAGCAAATATGAAGAAACGTATGACGCTGGTCTAACCTATGTTTTCTATGCAGAGAGTAACACCTTTTGTTGTGTTTATGGAGTAGTAATACATTTTTAAGAAGACTGAAATAAGTGTCAGTTTTGCTAATTTGGTTACATCAACGCCATGTATTCATATATAGCCCATGGATTAACCAATAAAAGTGTTAAATTTTTATTTATACACCCACTTTATTAATATATTATTGCTTGATATGCCTATTAGCATTAATTGATCTATCAGGACTGGCGAGATCACAAAACTGCAGTTCTTAGCTGGTTAAAGCATTTGATTGTATACTTTATAATCTAATTTGATCATATTATGTTCATGATAAAAAGCAAAAACTTTTATATGTTATTATATAAACAATAAACTTACAATTTATATGACAAGCCAATTTTAGATGTTTAAAATTTTTATGTTTCAAGTTATTTTCTGAGCACTTGAATCGAGCTATTGTATACAGCTTTTATACAAGAATTCATTTAAAAAGCAGTATTCAGTGTTAATTTCTACAAATAAGTAATCTGTTAAAAAACACAGAGTTGGAAATCTCGCAAACAACGAAAGTATATGACTGATAATATGATGTAATTTCAACACAGTTATTATAAGCAGTATGATGAAAATAATACCAGTAAGCCTATTGACTTGCAAAGGCTTATCCTTAGGAGAAAAAGTTTGAATTAAAATGTATAACTGTTAATTAAAGTTTTAAATAAGTATTAGGAATTAACAAGGAAATAAACTATTTTTCCTTGTTATGTTCATTTACTAAACCATTCACTGTTCTCATTACATGACATATTAGATGATTTTATACTCATTCCTCTATTTAATAATACATGTTCTTTAGCTTTCTAAGAACATGAAGTTAATGCCATAGTTTTTAATATTTCTAAAAGGAGAAGATTTACGTGACGTTTTTATCTCTACTAATAATTAATTATGCAATGGTCGAGTATCTTAATAACTTAAAAGTATGTTAAATAGAATCATAGTACAGGTAGACAAATTTAAAAATTAAATTTTTGTTAAAGAATGAAAATTACCTTATTCAATTTTTGAAAGTAGGCTGTTTCTTAGTTTTAAAGCTTCGATATACAAAATGAATCGTCGTAATAGAGCCACGCAGCATAATATAATTTTGTATTATTATTATTGTCTATCACATCTATTCAGAAACTTTCTTGGTTTAACCGCCAAGTTAAAGTGCACCCACGGTTGAAGGAGTAAGTATGGTTGGTGACGGGATTTGAACCCCCGCCCCTCAACTTACGAGTGGAGTGCCCTAACTATCAATATTTATGACTTGAAGAAAGGTCGCAATTTTTACACTAATTTAGCAAATGAATTCTAGAAAATACTTTGTATTAATAGTTCATTGCGTTTTTCTTGGTACAAGAACGATTCTGTAAAGGAATACTTAACCAAACTTACACTATATAAAAATATAGCTTAGTTCACGTGACAATATATGTAATCTGATATAAGTAATCTTGTTTTAACTGTTAAAATACAATATATGTCATGTGATGTAATTAATCTTGTTTTAACCGTTAAAAGACAATATATGTAATATGGTATAACTAATCTTAACATAACTATTAAAATACAATATATGTCATGTGATGTAATTAATCTTGTTTTAACTGTTAAAATACAATATATGTCATGTGATATAATTGATCTTGTTTTAACTGTTAAAAGACAATATATGTAATATGGTATAACTAATCTTAACATAACTGTTAAAAGACAATATATGTAATGCTTATTGATGTGGTTAAATGCTATGTCTATGAATTATACAAAAATACGTATTTTTTAAAATATATACAATTGTAAAGCTCTAATTGCGTAAGAATGTTTTCAAATCTTACCTCCAGTTACTTCACATTCTAAACGAAGCGGATCTCCTTCGTTGTAAGGCCCGATTAAACTCTGTTGAACTTGTCCCGTATGATCTTTAATTATCGGTTTTCTTGGAGGAACTTAAAATTAAACAAAGAGTGAAAAACAACAAAACCTTTATTTATATTCTAACCTTGTATAATGTAGAAAATAAGATACAATGCTTGACTAAGCTCCTCTTAATTGCTATATCTCTTTCTAATGGTCATCTCAATGTATTTTTACATAAAGTTTAATAGGTTTTGAAGATCATTCCTGTTTAAAATAGTAAGTATGCAAACTGTCATGAATCACATAGTAAGTAAATGTTTTTTTCTAAATATTTTATCCACTAGACAAGATATTATGTTGGAATGAGTAGTTCTTTTCAGATATAGTGTTGTTGAGTTGAATTTCAGATAAAGTTACGTGTCTAAAGCTTCTTGTTGCTTGACTGTATTGTATGCTCACGTGTTTTGATATATTTAGTACAAATAGGTATATTATTGTGGTTTTCATACTAAGTACAAAGGCAACGAATGCTTGTTGTTAAATAACAATTGAGACTGGGCGTGACTTAATGTTTAGTATGTCGGGCTGCACATCGAAGGTCTGGAGTTCGAGGCGTGATGCCATTGAACACCCTCCAAACTTTCAGCTGTGAGCGAACTATAAAAGTGGCATTAAATCGAGTTATTCAGATTTAAGAGTCCAACAAAGTTCTTATGGCGGTGAGTGTTGGTGACTCTTTGTATTTCCTTCGGTCAGTAGTTCAAAATTAGGGGCATCTAGAATTGAATCATAGAGATCCCTGACCTGGACGTTTAACCCCATACACATGAAGTGCATTCAAGTTGAAAATCATACTTGACGAATAGGTATAGTGAAAGCTCTGAGATACAGACAAATGTTTGTTGCTAAGCGTTGATTTGTTTGAACGAGTTGTGAAGAGAGAGAGACAACAAAGCATTTTTATTATTATGAATATTAAATGAATATATTGTATTACAAGTCACATCAAATTATTACGTTATATAAATTCATCAGATACGTTTGTATGAATTGGAAATATTGAAAACTTAATTTGTTTTATAACGTTTTGCTAAATACATTTCAAAATTGTTAAATATTTAGATTTTCTTATGTTAATCACTCAGTATTACAAATATTCTTTCGAGATATATTTGACAATTCTTTTTGAAAACTTGTTATATCTTTTAAAAAGTATCTCATGTTCGATCAAACAATGCTTCGTGCAGAGTTTTATAGATAAACTTGTATTCATTCTGGATTTCGAAAATCCTAACAAAATTATACTTTGGCTAATGATAGATTACTCTACAGATTATAATAACAGTTTACAGTAGTAATATATTGACAGAAAAGTAACCCAATGTTGCCTACAATACAAATGTTATTGATATGCAAATACGAAAAGAGCAAAGTACTTTTTCAGAAGTGGTACATATGATGATGTTAAAAACATTTTTTTTTTCAGAAATGTTAAATATGATGCTGTAACAAACACAATGTTTTTCAGAAGTGGTACATATGATGCTGTAACAAATATAATGTTTATGAGAAGTGGTATATATGATGCTGTAACAAACATAATGTTATAGTTTTAATTAATTTTTTAGTTGTTACACCTTTGAAGGAAATCATGAAACTTGTTTTGAAAAAGTAAATAATTTATTTCCTTCGAGGATTATTAAAGTATATTTTCACATTGTTATGACATTAATAATAGTTAGTTGTTTGTAACGTAATTTCATACAAATAATGAACTTTTAAGATACCTGTCTTTAAGTGTCGTAATTAATGAGCCCCTTCAGACTTTTATAAAACATTAATAGCATCACCGTTTATTATTCATCTAAGAAACTTTGAATATATTCTATCAAAATCTTAAAAGTATTTAATTAAACAGGAGATGGGACAGTTACATCTAGTAATCCATAGACGTACTTTTGTTTTTTAGTTTACAAATAAAGCAGAATTTAGAGACAATCAATAAAGTTTTCCCAATTCGTTAAGATTAGGGGCTGTTCAAAATTATCATATATTCAAACCATTTTTTAATAGAAGTATTAAATGCAAACCAGATGAGTCATACTTAATATTATCATTTATTTCGTTTCTTTGGATTATCACTGGTAAATATCTAAATTCTCCACTAATCTGAAGATCAAAGAATAATGCAGTTAACTTAAGGAAGTTTAAAGGAAGACTTGATGAATATCCGAAGGATAAGGGTTAGCTTTGAATGTTTTACTTTTAGTTAAGAGTTTAGTATAGGAAATGAGACAGCCTAGACAGACTAACAGGTCGTTTGTTGTCCTTAAGTTATAATATACTGTGTTTAATTACAAATAAATAATCTGTTAAAAAACACAAGCAACTCATGTTTCTTTAAGGAGCTTATCGTCTTACAATGACGACAGTAAATGTTTATTATATTCTCACAATTTTTAGTTTGTAGTACATCACAATATATTTCTAAGTCGACGTAATACTAAACTATAAACTTCTTGGACGAAAATTAAGTCCAATAAATCTATGGCTGAATGTACGTTCATCCTGGTTCATATGAATGAATGTTACATAAGTTATTACAATACAAATGCTATATAAAGTAATACAGCCCGAATAATTGGGAATTAATCAGATGTGAATGACGTTAATATATAGTTAATGAAAAATAAGACGCGAATAGATGGGGTGTCCTTCAATACAAATTAAATAATTAATTTCCTGTTTTTTCAATATATTTGACCATTCCTGCCATTCCGATAACCGAAGTTATAAACGGTTCCTTTCCCATATTCCACTGTTAAAAATAAAAAAGATTATCGTGAAAATTGTAGTGTATTTTTCTGAACAGTATGAAGATAATGGTAATTCTCGATTAAAATTTTATACGTGAATATCCCTTGGTTATTTGCATTTTTCCAAGTGGTAATGAGAGATATTGTGTATTTCTGAAATTTTGTGTATTTGTGTATCCTGAAGTCATCATATGTTTATTGTCTATGATTTTCGTCTGTTCCTAAACGGATGTTTAAGATATCATATGAAGTGATTCAATTATTCTGCAGGGGATTTGAATATACGTTTTAGGCAATATGTGTTATAGCTTAACCCACTGTTCTGTGTGTTACATTTGAATTATCATAAAAATAACGAGTATTTTTTTATCTCAGAATCACGTTTGGGGTCATATAAAGGTAAATATAATTAACGCTCTGTGGCGGACCGCTTCAAATTATTATATTATGCATTATTTGTTATAAAACTAAAATTTACGCATTGGAGATTTTTTATTTAATTTTTTATATGAATGTCAAAATGCTATTTTACATTTTTATTTGAGTTACACAATTGTAAATCTTGACAATAAGTCTATTTTAGAAATATTGGAAGTCTCAAAACAAGATTTTGAAACATTTTTTTTAACAGTTAGCTTTCAATTTCCAAGCTTGAAACATAAATATTTACTTCAGAGTGATTACTAACTTATCGCATGCAATACAGCTATGTACCTATTAAATTGAGCCCTATTTCTTGATATCGAGTTCTGGCCTTCTCAAAGTCTACCCGACATGTAAAGACACTTTCGTCTTCTGAAGTCACGTGATCAAGTTGAAGATATGCAGGTTCTGATTGGATACGAAAATTCGCCCGTGATGCTAATTGGTCACTTCTCCAGTGTCTCGCTTGTTTGAAGTTTCCGCGTCTGGAGTCGAGGCTATAGAGTGGTGAAGGAGATTTGTTGTTGTACCAGAGAACGAGCGAAATTACGTCATCCGAATGTTCTGGGGTGATGTTACATGGCAAGTCTGCTCTTCGTCCTTTAACTGCGTATATCTCTATCCTGGGTACTGTAAATGGATTTTAAAACATCTGAAAACTAGAAAGTGATAAACTCACCTAAAAGGTCAATTCTTTGATTCAACTTTAGACACACACACTTGTATGAGAACAATTACGATATTTGTATCATAGTTGTTCTCTTTGCTTTATAATACTTTAAGCCCAAATGATTTTGTACTTTGACCGAAAATTCCAAGACATACATTAACAGTATAAATAAATGTACAGCAGTTTTAAATAATACAAAATATGCTGTTTATTAAGTATCTACAAAGTTTTGATTAACATTAACTCAATGTTATACATAAGAATTTAAATAACTGAAAAAAAATAATTTATAAATTAGTTACAACAGTTCTGTATACCAAATTGAGTAGAAGACAAACTTATAATAACTAAAAAGTGTTGAATTATCGTATTCAATTATAGAAAAAGATTAACATTGTAACCAATAATGTACTTAAATGAAAGTAAGAAACCTGTAGTTTCAAAAAGTAAATTTAATACAAAACCCTGTAACCCGAATGCTTTCGAAAGGTTGACCTTTCTTCATCAGGTCCACCTTTCGAAAGGTTATAGGGTTTTGTATTTTTGCCTTTTATAAAAGCTGCTATGAAGTAACGAAGTGGAACATTACTTATTTTATACACTAGTCTTTTGTTTTTACAATACGATTTGAGACATGTTTTAGTCACTAAGAACTAGATAATTTGTAACAAGAATAATAGTTATTTCAGTTAATTGTTTTAATCCTATCTTGGAAGTGCGTAATAATTTTATATGTTTGTGGCTTCTTTTTAAAGTACATTTATAAGTTTTGATCAATAAAGGTTGTAGAAATTTCACGTGCTAATTTATTGCAATGATTGTTTATAGGCTGGTAGGTTCACTTTTCTATTTTCATGTGGAAAAAAAAATATTCTGGCATCGAACACGTCCTGAAAACTTATATTTCTATTCAGAGAGTGGTACACAGAGAACAATTTGATCATTTATAATGTTAGATTTAAGTTGTATTTTATGGAATCTCATAAACAAAAAAGTTAATCCTCTTTCAAGTTACACTAAATTTGATTTTGTTGTGGGAAAACAGTATTCAATATCATTGTATTAAGTCTATACATTTTATTTACTGCTTAACAAAATACCTGATTCTTCGATAGTATAAGATAAGCTTTTTAATGATAATTTATGAAAGGAGAAACTATATTATCTATTTAACGTTCATTATAGATTCCCTTGCAGATTTAATACGGTAACAGGAGTCAATAAAAATGATATGGATTCGATCGAAAAGAACATTTCCTATCTGACATAGTTGGTGCTTCATGTAATGTAACTAAACAGAGATGTACTCAGTAACGAACGTTATTAGCGAGAAAGAAATTTATCTGTTATTGGCCTTATCACACTTGCAAGTATATGTTCAATGCTCTTGATTCAACAAAATATTGCTCTTATCTTGTAGCTGAACGACTTTGCTTAGAACGATGTATCGTACTAGCATCAGGATGAGGATCGATCCCTCAGTGTATAGAAAGATCAAGCAAAGTTTTCTCTAGAACCATATACGTATATATATATATATATATCAGCGAAGGACTTTCCTTAGTCGATAACTAGGTATGACACTCTATCAAAATTTGAAACCAGCAGTGCTTTATCAGAAATTTGTTTTCTGATGTAGGTTGTCTGATTTGAGCATAGCTCGTCAGTTATGCTGCAGGAGACAGAACAAGACTTTTAAAGTGACTTTTTTTTCAGGCATCAGACTTGATGAACTCTCCATGTATTTATTAATGAAAGCCTAATGTCACTAGACATTTTCATATTACAGATTTATACGTATATCTGAGAGAATAATGTATATTTCATACTCTTATTTGACATTAGTTATGAGTGTAAAAATATATATATATTCTCCAAACTATCAGTTAAGCACACAATTATATTATGAGAGTAAAATTCTAAGGCTTTGGTTTGGTTATTATTAAGAACAAAACTGCAAAATGGGTCAACTGTATTCCGCCCACTACGGGTATCAAAACTCGATTTTTGGCGTCGTAAGCCCGCAAATTGGAGAGGCATAAAATTATAAGAAAGCTAAACGTTACTTTTATTTTACAATATTATTTTATGTCGAAGATTGAGTCACTTGACAGTAGTTTTAGCCCCCCAGTGGCACAGCGGTATGTCTGCGGACTTACAACGCTAGAAACCGGGTTTCGATACTCGTGGTGGGCAGAGCACAGATAGCCCTTGTGTAGCTTTGTGCATAATTAAAAACAAACAAACAAACAAACAGTAGTTTTAAAAAAGTCTTTTAAAAAACAAACATCAAATAGAAAAATCAATTCTAGAATGTTTGAAAGTGACATATTTTACCTCATCCGAAATGCGTTGCTTATATAAAATTTCTTTCGAATAGTTGAAAACATAACTAGAAAGACTGATTTAATTTTTGATTATTCAGAGTAATACACGTTATTGCAAGAATACACATAAATTGAACTGAAATGCATTTGACACTTGAGAGACTTGGAAGATTACAATATTTATTGTGATTAATGTATATGTTTTAAAATGTAAGTTACACGCATGAAGTGGCTTGCAATAGCAGCAGTTACTTGTAGTAAGCAGTAGGAAATGTTATTTCATAATGAATATGTTAGTATAAATTAAAATTCCGAGGGCTTATAATGCTAAAAGTCAGGTTTTGATCCAGTATGGGCAGAGCACAGATAGCCTATTGTGTAGCTTCGAGCTTAACAGTAAACAAAGAAAGAAACAAAAAAGAAAAAATATCAACATGATGTCCACTAAGCGTTTTGTTCGTATACATGAACATAGAATCTTAGCAGAAACAAAGTTGAACCTAAGGATTCCCATTAAACTTATTTCTTCAGTGGTTCTCTTTATCCTAAACATACCTATGTGCAGCACTTATTAAATGTACCATCATCGTACAAATGCTCCAATGAGGAACGTATGGGATTAGTACCATCACATTTAACTAAACACAAAAGCTGAATATTTCTACGGGAAGACCCTGCGAGATCATAAATCTGGACACTTCATGCATACAATTTGTATGACTAAGTCTGATGTGATAAATAACTCTTAGAACTTTTTTTTATTAAATACTAATATTGAAAGTTACACCAATATTTTTGAAACTTTTACATCAAATGTTCTTGTTCTGGCTTATGATGTGAAATATTTATATCTTAGACTATTTCTTGTATCGATGTCAAGAATAAAAAAAAAAGAAGTGAGATAACTTATGATAGATACAAGGTGCTAAAGTGTATTGTATGTATGTTTATTTATTATTATTTGAGTGGTTGGGTGTAAATCATATTTATAGATGGTAACAGAATCTTTTTAGTTCTTGTAACTTTAAGATAGCTTAAAGTTTTGTACTGAGCTGTAGGGTGTATGTCGCTTAGGAATATGCATATGTAAATGTATTTTGTAAATCTTCACTATTGAATGACGTTCCTTCTTGAGTGTGTGGTTTCGTCTAGACTGTACGTTTTAAAGCTTAATAATTATGGGTTGTATTGTTAAATAACAGTGTCGAAATAGCTTTAATTTCCCACATACGGTGAGAAGATGTGCAAGTAATGTAATAATTCATAAATTAATTGAATAATTTTATAATATAGTCATAAACACATACACAAGTAACTTGGAATTTTAATTTTATGAGTATAGTAAGAGTAATTTTGCAAGTCAAAGGTGCAAATTAAAAGAACAAATATTTCTAGTAAATTTCCCATTGAAATGTAAGAGAAGTGTTTTTGTTACGAAACTAATCTATGTGAAATGTAACATGAAAGATATTTTAAGTTTTGAACTTTAAAACTCTGATCGTATGAATATTTTAATCTTTCTTTATACAAGTAATTGAATTTATAAACTAATTGTACAATAACGTGTTTTTCTTGACGTCCAAATTCCTTTTGATAGCGTATCGCATAGTAGACTCTGATTCTAAAAGTCCTACTAAAGGCACCTGCTTTAATATTTTTTTCTCTCAGGCAGATATCTGGTAGTGAGGGGTAGCTAGTTCTGTTTGATTTATCGTACATGTAAGCAGCATGCCATTTACTGACAAAAATATTATGTTTTATCTCAATTTGCAGATTATGTGGCAATCTGAAAGAGTTCCTTAAATATCCAGAAATCTTGTTGTAGTGCCAGTAAATAGACCTGGTTGACAAGAACCGTGTGTTAGTAAGACATACACACATACTATATTTTATTTTACTCATTTTGACATCGGATGCAAGACCGTATTCTACGATAGTTCTGAGCTTACACCCTGTATCATGAAAGGAGGAAGAGTTGAAACTTACACCTCACCCTCCCAAACCACACACCAACTTAAACAGAAACACCGCTTAAAAATATGAAGTCGAACGTGACAAGAGATAGGTTCTGATTGTTGACGAGGGTTTGTAAGTGATATTGTAATTGCTTAAATCAGCAGCTAACTGTAGAATGGTTAAGTAAGTTATATTAAAACAGTTTTGAATCCTCACCACATTGTTATAATCCACGTTGCCACGCCTGGTCATGCTTTTTATGACGACTGCGAGTCTTGAAAATAGCTCTGCAGTTCAGTTTCCATTGCAAAATGCTCATTTTTAACGCTGCCGTGTCCAAGGCACACCACTCTCTTGAATACTTTCCATTATCCATGAAGTGTACTAGAACGACGGTTTCCCAGCGCCCGTTTCAACAGCTCGATTGCATATCTAGGCGCTTCTACAACGTAACTGGTATGTCTTAGTATGGAATAGTATGAATACCCGTTTCATCCTCCATCTTCATGCAGATGTTCTTGATTGCGTTACGTTACTGTTGCTGGAACACACGAACAGTTTTTGTTACTGACCTATTTTGTTCATGGATTCTTAACTTGAACAATACGCCACACCTTGCTTATTCCAGCTGATGGTCGACTTTTTGCAAAGAACTTTATGGGTGGTCCTAGTTCCCC